GGACGTTGCAAACTATAGCCTGGTGAGAAGAGGTTGTAAGCTTCATCACCTCTGTAGCCAAGCAGTCAATCAGATTTTCAGCTTTATATAGGTTGTCTGGAGATATTTTAAGATGCTTTTTTAACGGACAGGCTATTGGGTCTAAATCCAAAAACTTGTTTTGACTTAAATCCAGTAAAGACTTAACCTGGCCAACCTCAGGACGGCTCTCCGTGGTATTTGAGATTGGCAGTGACATACTATCAAAATGACCCAATTTTTGCTGCAGTTCACTTACTTGCCTCTGGATATCTTTCACAAAGCGGTTTAATTTACAGAACTCAGAGTTCTCTAACAGAATATCTTTCACCTGTATCACAGGAGTGAGATCTGCACTGAAGTCATTTTGTAAGCTAGCAGTTTATACTGTATTACAAGGTGGTAATGCAGTTAAAACCGGATTTGAGCCACTATCCAAAACAATTGTGTTTCTACGAACACGTTTATTTTACAGATTTGTACGATAATTTCAAGCATTATATGACCATAAGCAGTAAATAAATTTCAGAGCAAACACGTGCAAAAATGTCAACAATTTCGAACGTACCACCAGAAATGGTGGAAATCAAAGTAAACTCTTGTGCGGTACATTCATTATTTATAAGACTAACCAGTATGTAAGAACTACGATTTGATCAGTTATATAGCGTTTAATATATTTAGACACAGTCAACCTACGCTGCTTACTTCTACGACGCATTACCTAAAGCTAAGTAGCTACTTTAAAATAGTTTCCGCTAAGGGTAATCTCCTTTAGCTACTACCTTAGTGAGCAACTAAACGTTATTTTTGAATAACAAAGTAAAAGTGGAAATTCTGAGAACTTTCTTGGTAGAAAGACAGCCTCCTGATCGAAAAAATTAATTATACTTTGATATCCACGAAAGCATTTAGAGGTATTCATCCTGTCAACTCAAATGACTTACTATTTGCACTCACTTAATAAGTAAAAATAAATCTACCGAAGACAGTGCTCATGATTTCTGGATATCATAATATATCATAAGGAAAAAGGTATATCCATTCTACTTTGCTAACTAATTGTCTAGTCACATCAACAGATGTTTCGCTGAGAAAAAGAAAACCACTGGTTCAAGAAAAATTTATTTCAAATTTTCTTAAAAATCAAGGACATCCATATTTATACCCACAGAGAAATTAAAAACATCCTAAAACAAGGATTTCATTATTTGAATTGAAACAAGCAATTTGTATCCGGCCAATGTTTTCAACCTGAATAATAATCAGGTTTTAAGCCTGTTGTAACTTCGAGAAAACCACCGGTTGTAAACCACAACCCGAAACGCTAATCCTGCTAATTAAAGTCTTACCTTTAACTGAGATATTTCACACACTCACCATATCATCGTATGTTATCCGCTTTTTCAGTCGTTTCGCAACACACTGAATGGCTAACACTGGCTTTGCTACAGGCGGTCCTAGTTCACGTATTTGGATCTAGTACATTAGGCATTAACAAGTATAGGTAACACTTACCCTTTGGACGTTTCTGATTGCTTCACACTTTCTCTTAGTTCCCGAAAATACATACAGGCACAACAGACTCATACTTCTCGTGTGGCTCAGCCTTGTTCGATTTAGATTCTGTCACAACATATCTGCTTTTACAGCTGATAATAGACACAATGATGGCATGCTCACTTTCTAGAAAAGGTTCAAAGCTTTTTCAACTTCAAACCAGGTTTTAAATTCTCAAGGTGTAATATGCTCTTCAAAAACCTTGCTAATGTCAACTCTCATCGTGTTGTTTTCACCAGCCTGACTCGTATGTTGTTGCATGCTGGAAACATCAACGTGAAAGACATTGTTTTTCCCAGGTTCCTACATACTAAGAAACCAACCAAGCCAGCACCAATAGCGGCAACCAAAAGATGAACTAGAAAAAACAGCTTCTGCAACGTATACACGTACAGGTGCATATTTTCCAAAGCATCCACACGGTACTAATTCATTAATAGCTGAAAAACAACAAGAACACTGAAACTACGTATGAAATAATTTCAAAGAAATAAATGAACTGACCTGTTGATATAAACTTTCAAAACCGACAACATAACTAATTTTATACAATTGGTGGATGGTGGCTAGCAGTGGAATCCAGGATGCACATTTCGTCCTATTTGGGACTCGTCAGCTGGATGTACCTGCATTTCTCAGTGAGTGATGATGTTCCCACCGAGGCTCGAACCCAGCACCCATAGTTTCAAACGCCAAAGCGTTATCCACTAGACCACTTGGGCCACGAGAGCCACCTCTTGTGCAACGGGTCATATTAATTCAATAACTAATTTTAACTGAAACGGAAACAAAAATGAGGCGAAAAGCGACATTTGCGAACAATGTGCATCAGGATAGGTTGTGAATAACTGCAAGATAAACGTAAAAACCAACATGTAAAAGAAAGGGTAAGGGACCATCAATCCAACATGGTCAACTGAAATGGGCTAAAGTGACCTTCAGATGGGCAACTCTTTCAATGACCTTGAGCATGTGGGATGATTTCAGTCGTTTACACTAGCTCATGGAAACGATTTAAGGTATTGTACTGCGGTATGCTCAACGCTATACGTTTGAATTTGGGGACACTCTTACATGAGTTTTCGCTGATATTCATTCACTGAATTCTGTTAAATCTTCACTAATAATGGGTCAGAAGTCTTAAAAGCATGCTATATAATGAAAAGTTTTTATCATGTAAAAATCCTTCAAACATTTGGAAACTTTTCAATAAACTTACAAGTAAAAAAAAAAGTCCGTTGATGCTTATTCTGATGTAAATGCTTTGAACAAATCATTTATCAAGAAACAAATTAATATGGTTGTACCTGATGTACCTAGTCAAGAAAATGGTCATTTTCAGGGTTTTGAAGAAAAGGATGTACTATTATGTTTGAAGTCATTAAATCCAACACACAGCCTTGGTCCAGATGGTGTACCAAGCATTCTTCTCCAAAAGTGTGCAGACATCTTGTGTCATCCTCTTACTCAAATCTTTAACGCATCATTTAAGAGGGAAACGGTACCTGCTGACTGGAAAGAAATCAAGGTTGTACCTGTACAGATTCAGATTCAGATGATAAGGATAGAAGGCTCTTGTGGCCTGTGTTAATCCTTGCAAAGTATATCTCTGCAGAGATCTAACTTCTCTTTGAAAGCGTTCACCGATGGAGCTGATACTACTGAATCAGGTAAGGAGTTCCAATCGTTGACCACTCTGTGAGAGAATCTAAATTCTGCACGTATTTTAATCGTCCTTGGTTTGAGCACCTTTTTGCGGTGACCCCGTAAATGTATCCTAGAAGGGGAGAAAAGGTTAGAAAGGTCAGTTCCTAAATCACCCTTAAGTATACGGTATGCCAAAATTAAGTCGCCTCTCTTCCTTCGGTATGATAACGGGAAGAGATTTAAATGCTCCATCCTCTTATCATAAGGAAGGTGTGAGATACCACTAACTAATTTTGTTCCTACTCTCTGTACTCTTTCCAGAATATGTGCCTCCTTTTTGAAGCATGGACTCGTCGCTTGTATGCAGTATTCTAGATGAGGCCTGACATATGTTGCGTAGAGTATTTGGAACATGCCCTCGTCTAATCGTTTGAAAGCCCTTCGAATTGCCCATAGCATTCGAAAAGCTTTAGCTGCGGCTGCACTGCAATTTGCAGTTGTTTTCAAATCGTTGCTGACAATGATTCCTAGGTCCTTCTGTTCTTTAACATCAGGTAGTTCTGCATCCCCTAGGGAGTACGACGTATAAGACTTCTGACCTAAGTGCATTACCGCGCTTTTCTTAGCATTCATTTCCAAACTCCATAGGCTTGACCACTCAGCTAATTTATCTAAGTCATTTTGTAGGGCCAACCTATCCTCGTTATTGTTTACAGTTTTCCATACCTTAATGTCATCTGCAAATAATAATGAAGATGAAGAAAGAATCCCTGGTAATTCGTTAACGTATAATAGGAATAGCAATGGACCTAATACAGTTCCCTGGGGCACTCCACTGGATACTGCTTTCCATCCTGATAGTACACCATTAACTCTAACCTTCTGCCTTCTATCCATTAAGTAATCTCTAAACCACTCACATAGGCATTGGTCTAGTCCGAAACCTTTCAGTTTACTAAGGAGACCTAAGTGGGATACTTTGTCGAACGCCTTGCTAAGATCAATAAAAACCACATCCAACAGATGGTCCCTATCTCTGGCCTCAACCCAGTCTTCCCTAGCCAATAGTAGGTTTGTCAAGCAGGATCGTCCTGGTCGGAATCCATGCTGTTCCACAGCCAACAAGCCATGTGTTTCAACATAAGCTAATAGTTGATCCCTTATAATAGTTTCCAGTACCTTTGCAATAATGCATGTCAGACTTACCGGCCTGTAGTTAGATACCAATTGCCTATCCCCGTCCTTGAAGATAGGGCTTATAATGGCATCCTTCCAGTCCCTGGGTAGCTTAGCCTGCGTCAGAGACATTTGGAAAATCTCCGTAAGCGGAATATATATTATATCCGCCAAGGAAAGTAACAACTTAGGGTGGAGTCCATCCGGCCCAGGTGATTTACCTGGCTTCAGTTTAGACAGTAGTTTCAGAACCTTTGTGTGCTCTACCACAATTGAGGGCATCTGAGTGGCGATGGCAGTGACCTCGCCATATCCCTGGGTGGTACTATCAGACGAGAAGACGTCACAGAAGTATTCAGAGAGGTTTTCAGCCTTCCCTTCGTCTGACTCAGCCGCTTCTCAGAAATCATCTTCTGGAGCAGATATAAAATTTAGACCAGTCGCTATAACATCTCCTTTTTTGAAAACTATGGAGAAACTTCTTTTGAATATTCTTAAACCTTCTTTAAAAGCTTTTAATGACCCTAAGCAGTTTGCTTATAAGTGTGGAAGAAGTACATTGGATGCAGCCATTGTACTACACCACAATATTGTTTCCTGCCTTGATAAGGGCGCGAAGTTCGTTCGAACAGCTTTCTTAGACTATACTGCAGCTTTCGACTCTGTTCCTAGGACACTTTTATTAGGCAAGATGAATTCAGCACAAACAGAGTCCTGGGCAACTAGATGGCTGTCTTCTTATTTTAAGGATAGGAAACAGCATACTGTTTTGGCTGGAAAGCGCTCCACTTCCCAGCTAACTGAAAGTGGTGTGCCTCAAGGTGCAGTACTTTCTCCATTTCTTTTCTCTTTCTTTCTGCATGACCTTCCGAACTCACCCAAAGTTAACTTCACTAAGTATGCTGATGACCTGACCGTTTCTGTCCCTGTAGTTTCCACATCGGATTGTTCCTATATGAATGGCTTCCTAGCTGAAGTTAAGGATTGGTCTCGCTCAAATGGTCTTAAACTAAATCCAACTAAATGTAACACTGTTGATTTCAGCTTGAGAAGTGAAAAAGACATGCATGGATTGATTCAATCTCATGATTGTAGTAATATTGATGGTACCATGATTGAGAGTAAGTCAAGTGTTTCTTATCTTGGCATTAGTTTCTCGTCAAATCTTTGCTGGTCGTCTCATATTCTTATAGTTTCTAAGAAAGTTTTCCGTCTGACTTATTACATAAAGAAGTTGAGACACTCAGGTATAACTCAATCTCTTATCATACAATTTATTAATTCATGTGTTTTGCCCATCATTCTTTATTGTTCTCCATTATTCTTCCCTGGGCTACTCAAGAAAGATCATATAATACTACGAAGAACATTGAGGGCTGTAAGTAGGGTCAGTGCTATCCATTTGACTCAACTAAATGACACTGTTGTCAATAGGCATATGAATTCGTGTAAACACTTAGCTAAAGTTATCTTATCTGATAGTGAACATCCTCTTTATTCACAATTGTTTCCTTGTATCTCTTCGGGTAAGACCAGAAGAAATTTTATAAACATTTATGCTCGTACTACAAAATATAAAAATTCGACCATTCCATATTTGGCACGAGTATTGTGTGAAGAGACAAATATCAGAAAAGAACTTTTGCAACTTTTGAATCAGTAACTAAACTATAAAATGAAATGATGCATATTAATGCAAGTGTTATTTGTTATATTATTTATTTATTATTCACTATGACCTAGAAATGGTATGATTTTGTTGGGTTTTTTATTCTTATTTATTTTTTTATTATTTTTTCCTATTAACTATCAATATTTTAACATTTTATATATTTATATAATTATAAACAGAGCTAAACCATTGCAATATGTAAAAGAAACGCTGAAAATTCCATGCTGTAAATTTTTATTGTTGTGGAATAAAGTGATTATTATTATTATTATTTAAGGAACATGAGTAACATAGAGAATGACATGAGCTCTTCTGATAGCACATTATTACTTATTGAAGGTTACAGAGAATAGAAAATCAATAAATGACTGATTGACTGCAATGAAGACTGGACTGGCTTTCATTTACCGAGCTACCACTAGTTGTGGTCTTCTAGAATTGCTAGAGTGGACATGTTAATGTGTCTTTCTAGGCTCCATCAGGTTTCCACGAGATATAATTTCAAATGGTACTTAGTTTCAGAGAATGTGATATTCAGTGGTGAGGAATTTCGTCCTAATGGTTTTTCTGTGGGTAGCCACGTTGAGAAGGTGATCGTGGTTTCGCAGCTGATATGACTTGATATTTGCCCACGTTATGGGTGAGTTACCGTTTTCCAGAGTCCAAAGTAGGCTACACCGATCTTGTGTGGGCTTAAAGTCAATCGCCATGTTTTGCTTGAATCACCTAGAATCTTTAAGCCATGTTAGATTTTACTTTCTACGCTCATGTCATCTTACCCGTAATCATAAGCTATCTTGAGATCATCTGCAAAGAGGTATGGCTTGTCATACTCTATCACAGAGACTATGTCATTTATGAATAAGGGGAACAGAATAGAGCCAAGAACGCTACTTTGTATTACACTACTTGTTATCGGCTTCGGTGAAGACAGCTGGTGGTTGATTTTGACTAATTGCTCTCTTTCGTGAGAAAAGAATTTATCCATTCGGGAAGCTTTCCAGTTATTCCGTAGGGTTGGAGTTTTGTTAGGAGTCTGATATGTGGGGCTTTATTGGGGGCCTTTGCGACGCCGAGAAATAATGTTGTTACTGAATGCCGATTATCTATGCATTATGTATTGTGGCCAAAATAGTCTAAATGGCAAGTAATGCACGTCGTTCTACTTAAGAAACTATAATGCGATGGGGATAGTAGGCCATTAGCGGGCGAGTAATGATTGATTTCAGTCTTTACTACCTTTCCTATTACACGTCAAACTACAGACATGACGTTGGTGGTGCGGTAGTTATTGATATCAGCCATAGGCCCATATTTATGGATAGGTACAATATAAGACTTCTCCCAGCAGGTAGGGTATGTCCCGTCGCTTAGTGAAATTAAGTATTTAGAGGCTGACGGTATTGACGTTCGCGAATTGTACGGAGTATACTAAATTGAATAGGAGTAAATTCATATAATTACCTTCGTTCTTCAGCAGAATGGAAGATATGCCAATAGTGTTACAAAGCTTAAGATTTGAGATAGCTTTATCGACCTCTTGTGTGGTGAAAAGTATGTCACTGTGTTACGTGGGAAATCTACGACCTAGTCGTTCTCCAGGGTGTAAAGTCTGGCAAAGTGCTTGCTAAACAGTGCACGTATCACCTCGGTATTCTCGTAAAAGCAATGTCGTTTAAGTATGCTGTTTTGGGGTTTGTTAGCCTACTTTTGAAAAGTTTAGCTATTTCTCCTGGGTTATTTAGGGGCTGAATGGCCCACATTTCTTTGTTTCTGAGGCTTATATTTCTCAAATCTTGAATCCTAGTGAGAACAGGCGTAATAGCAGTTAATGATGATAAGTCATGATATCTGTAGTATTTTATTGAGTGCTTTTGTAGACTTTTTCTTAACGACGTTGGAATATAATCGTTTTGGGAGAATTCGAAGCTGGGAATCGTCTTAAGTGCAATGACAACATCAATTACCTTAATATTCACATAAACATTGTTAAGAACTGCCTCTAAGAACTCGTTTAGAAAGTACGATTCCGGCATCTAATTGGATGCCAATACTAGTTCCAGTCAGCATTTGCATATAATCTTATAAATGTCTGGCCAGCTCCATCTCTCCAGGAAAGATGTTAAAAGAACACACCACCATTTTGTGGTCTTTACCTGGAAATTCATGTCCCATACGTACTGTAGAGGATATTATGCTATTCGTGGAAACCAGGTCTAGGATATTTGTGGGTCTAGTAGGTGTCTATGTGTTGCATCCACCCTCCTCTGATGATGGAATTCAGGAGATTATCACACCTTTTGAGTCCTTGGAGCAAAGGCCATTATACTTCTGGTACGTTGAAATCACCCCCAATAATTATATAACTAAAGGGGAGATTAGCTGTAACATCAAAACTGTTGCTGAGCATATTATCACACTGTCTGCTGGATGGAGCAGGTCGGCACAAACAACCGATAAGTTTAGATTTACTTTTGACAACTTTTATTTCGACCCAGATTGAGTCTTTGAGTTGTGACAGAATAGGATTACTGAACTGGATTTGAGCACATGGATTGTTCACAGTAAAACAGTGTTCCACTCCCACGGCCTGTCTCTCTGTCCCCTCTAAAGGGGTTGTGGTTATCAATTCTTAGGAGATTTCACTTGTGCACCGGGCTTCAGTGACCATGATCAATGACGGTCTGCATGTAGAAGTTAATGTACTTAGTGGTAAGTGTTTGTTTGTAACTGATCTAGTATTTACGATGATCATAGATAAACAATGGCCAAGTGGTTTCAATGCCCAGGCAACTTCTTGATAAAATACTCCGTGACTGTACTCTGTTCACATGTTTTTAGACTCACTAACCACTATCTTTGAATCATAAGAATACCTCAGGCAGGTTTGTGAGATGGTAGTCAGGGTGGTCTGTCATTTGTAGAGGGTATGCGATAAGAGGCACATGAGTGGTAATTACAGATACTGGTATCCTCTTTCGATGCCAACAGTGTGTCAGCTATCTCCCGGCAAATATGCCTTTTCCTAGTTGTAGACTGTTCGCTATGCCAGTGAGGAATATCATGCGTGCTATATGCATGATGCCAGGTGTTTCCGTTAACTGACGCTAGTGAGAATCCTGCTCGAAGCGGCTAGTGGGAGCAATGTTGTTGTAAGATGTATAATCGATATGAGTATTTGGTAATTTGTTTCCAGAATAGGAATGGAGCGTTGGTCTCTGTTCGGGGTAGTCATCTGACAATAGCAAGTCGGCACATGCCCCGACTAAATACATTAGATGTATGAATGGGTTCTGTGGGCTTATTTGTGTGACTGAATGTAGTCAATAGCCGATATTTAGGGGGGTTCTATAACATTTAGTTGATAGAACATTCAACGGGGACTGGCTAACAAAGGGTTAGCGCAGTGGGTGAGCAAAATAATACCGATTACCTCACTGTGTTGTTTGTCTAGAAATAGTGGTTGGATATAATCGGCTTTCCACTTGAGACCAATTAGGCCTACCTCTAGGGGTTGGGTCTATCATAATTGACTTCATCTTAGTAAGATGGGTTAGAGGTGCTTGCGTTTCTGTAATATCAGTGGCCTTTCGTGCTCTCGGCTCGGAATTTAGTTTAGTTACTTCGGTATCTCCTTTCTTATATTTACCTGGCTGATGGTGGCTAACAGGGCAGCCAGCACATGTTATATAGGGTTTCGGTTGCTTAGACACCCCTAACTTTTTAGTTTCCTTAATTGAAATGAGATGTTTGTCATGACGCCTAGGGGACTTGCCAACTTGGGTAGGTAAATCGGACTGATACTTTACAGTGGATGGATTGTCAGACTGAGGAGTAACTGACTTATAAGGAGGTGGATAGATCATGAGTGGAACGGACTATGATCTTTTCTGCCTCTTGAAGTTTGTGTCAGTGTAAAAACGATGTATTTCAACTTTATGTTCTGTTGATGCATCAATGTCTACCATTTAAATGTCAGTAGCAGTGTCTTTATATAATACTTGGCTAATATTTGTCTGTCCTTGCGAAAATGTCTGATGCACATGGCCATCAGGTATATCACTGGACGGAATACTACACGAAACATCATTTACAGTTTTCCTATTAGGGTTATCAGCATGCAGTGTTCCTGAGCGGCATCGTCTTTGGCGTGGCATTAAATCAGTTAGAACCCTTATGTTAAGGTAGTGTGTTGAAGAGCATGATATCTTGTCAGATATCAGAAAATTCCTGGCTTCTCCGATCGATCTCAACTTGAAAAGCACTGGATATGAGTGGTGTGCAGATGTACAAGGACAAAAAGCCTGACAGTCTGTCAGTGACATATTACATGGCTTTAGACACGAATTTTTAGGTTTGTCAATAGGCTCTCTGTCTGGAATGTTATAAGTCAAGAAGATATTTGAAGACATAATCCTTTTAACAGCTTCTGCAACTAAAGTGTCAATTATTCTCTCGAATTCGATTAGTGTATCTAGACAGATGTTTTGTTATACGTCAAACAGCTGCGTGGAAGGCATAATGCTGTCATACTTGCTCTGTAGGTCTGCTACTGATTTTTGAAGTGTTAATTAATCATTTTTGCTACGAGTCTCACTATCTATCAGTTCCTTCATGATATCAGATTGCATAGGTCTAGTTGTGTCTGGTGACAAAGGTTTGGGATTGTCTGTGGAGCTAAGGCTTTCAGATAGTTGACGAGTACTAGACCTCAGTCTCTTGATTGTACTCACAGGTTTGACAGACTTAGTCATTACAGAGACAAGAAATTTCACAATTTCCGGAAATCACAGTCTTGAGGATATAGAAGAGATTTTTGTATTACTAAAGTATCAAAGACAACGATAAACAGCTGTATATTGGAAAACGATAAAGTCAGACTCTCCTTTAAAAGTGCTCGCTGGGGATAAAATCCTTAGTTGCAGGTGGTTAGAAAGGGTATCAGAAGATTACGGGTTGTAAATTTCACAAATGGATCCTATATGTGGCTCCAGGTGACAGATTACAATCCTTGTTATGTATGGATATTTGGATATAGTGAGAAACGCGGCTAATTTCCAAAAGAATGTGGAAAGATAATTCGCTCAGAAACAGAACACCTGTTGCACAACAGTTTGAAATGGATCGATATAGGTAGGTTTACTAGACGGTAAAGTACAATGAATATTAACATATATGTATACTGATAATAAAGTTCTATCCGTGTTCACATACATTTCTTCCTCTCTGGTTCTTTGTTAATCTCCTCTTTTCCCCTGTTTGCATTGTTGTAGAAATTGCACAAACTTATATTAAGGCTAAAGTTGAACAGGACTTGAAATCACTTATATGTACCACATCACCCATCATGCTGTTGGCCCTTCGAAACTCAACATCGCTAAAAACTGCCATGTCCCCATCTCAGGACGCTGTATAAAATCCTATACGAGCAGCATTCGTAACCCAAAATAAAGATGAGAATGGTTTGCAAATAGTTTTCTACATGCTAATCAACTTACACGGACAGAACACCATTGAACTACAAATGGCGGCGATAGCGATACAAACGTCTTGTGAAGAGAGTGAGCACTTGAAGGTCACCTTTACAATTTTGATCGGTAGATTTTCCTTTGAGTGAACTTTGTGGCTAATACGTGTTGCACTTCAATGATGAGGGCTTTGAAATAGCCATAATGATATCAGATGGACGTTATATTCGTCAGCTAAAGGGAAAAAATTAATATACGTGTAGATTTCACAGATGTGATATGCACTAGATCCAAATAGAATATTAATGTGCAACTTAATCAGAGAAGTATAACGTTTGAAGATATGGTCTCTTTCAGTTGGTTGTATCAGGCTATGAGAGAGCCGGTTGTGCAATTTTTATTTTATACAGAAGAGAAAGTGTGATAGATGTTTTGGAAGTTCTAATGTCCTTCGAATCTATCATGGATTAAGTGGACGACTGTATAGAATTTCACCAACTCTGTGATTGTTCTCTGCCTTGTTCGCATATTGAGTATGCCTAGGATAAGGAATTGTTCACCAGAGGTAGGATCAATTCATCTGATATGTACACATCCCAAGATATTTCTCAATGCAGCCGAAGGTATTCGAAGGAACACAATCTCAATCTTTGCTTGAAAAGACCATATCCAGTTTCTCCGAGCAGGCCTGATGGTGATGAAAAGTGCAAAGACTGATCCAACACCATTACTAACTAGATCTTGTGGACAAAGTGACTAGTAGACTTTCTGATGACTATAACGCAGCTATAAAAAATGTACAACTGGGATTCTTTTTTCACTGAACTGTCATAAACTCTTTTTAATTTGGACATGTACATTTTTCTTAAGATATTTTAACTTGATTGGTTATTGTCCCATTGCAAATATATGCATCAATATTGACTGCTTTTGTCTCTTTTAATTATCATTTTGGGACACTGTATAGCTAACGAGAATGATAGACGACGTATTAATACTTATGTGAAATGCGTCAGTCTTAAACTGTTATTATTTCCGCAATACATCATCAAACCTTTGCGTAAAATGTTTCATTTACGCTTAATCCGCTTATGCACAACATTAGTATTCAAAATTGTTAAAAAGTAGCCATTGAAAATGTGTTTGTAATGGAATAACGAAATATAACTTAGCACACGTACGTTCTATACGTGTACTACCTGTATTGGTAGCCCGGTTAATTCATGTACACTATGAGACGTATATCGAACTTCCCGTAAATAGTCTGTCGCTTTTATGTTGCGTTCAAGACCACTGTCTTAAGCGAAATCGTTGATTACTTTGTTAACATAAAATAGTGCAACTTATTATATAGGCTTTAGTTGTGCAGTCTTCCAGCTGAAGCAATAACTCAAAAAGCAATTATAAATAGTGACACATCATACGAGAATTCAATCACATGTAAATATGTCATTTTACGCATATAACCTCTTCTACACTGACATCACTTTTCAACTCAAAAAACAGTTAGTACTAACAATGTATGAAATGAATGCAAACTTTTAAAAATGATTATTTCAATACATAAATTCATAATATCTCAAATATTTCACCATCCACACGCATAATATTCGTTTTATTTTTATTAGAATGTCTAGATATACTGACTGATACGCTGCGGAAGTGAAGACTCTAATCTGGAAAATTAAAATCACAGGTTTTAAGTTATGAAATGATGAGTTGAATAGACAGCTCAAATTACAGTGCCCACAAATTAAAGTACTCTGTCTTCAAAGTTATCCCACAAATTAATCAACTCAGATTTCATTCTGACTGAGAAAGTTTGTCCCAACCGAAAGCTGCTACCTTGACGTGATGGTTGGGTTTGAACACCGCAATGTTCTATTCAAGCTATACTGGCTGAGACTTATGTCTCTTGAGGTCTACCATGCCAGGCAGGTTGTTTGGATAGCGGTTAAACAAAAAGCAGCTACCCAATCCAACATCATGATAAATACAAAATCACAAAATTTCATGCCGGATCGGCCGTGGCCCGGATTAACAACGACCGCGCTTCCTGCTGCCGTGTCACAGGGCAGGAGTGATAATATGCTACTGAGGCACACAAAACAAAAAGAACAAACAAAAGCAGGCCGCGTGTGACCGGCCTCAAGCAGTTGTCCCCTGGGCTCTGCGGTCACGCAACCAACTTCCACGGTGTGGGCAGCCGGGAAGTAACAATCGCCCTCACAATCCGAAACGCACGCGAAACCTCTCTATTACTCACTCATCTTTGTCTTCATCTTCATCTCTATCATCTTGCCTTCCTTCCACTGATGCAACTCCTCGACTTGATAGCTCTCCACTCTGCGTCCACTAAAAACGATGGAAGCCAAAAAACCACCACCGACAGCCTCTTAAAGCCGCGCCACCAATTTCATATAGGAGCTTTTAATGTTAGGACACTTTGCCAAATAGGACAACAAGCATCACTAGCCAAGACCCTGGCATCACGAGCCATTGATGTATGCTGTGTTTCAGAAACACGCATACAAGACCCAAGTGTGGTTATTCACCTAACCCCACCTGGCCAACAGGTTGAATCTGCAAAATTCACCTTGAGGGTGTCAGGAGATGCCACAGCTAGTTCACGAGGATTAGCTGGCGTAGGGATAGCTTTGAGTACTAGGGCAGAAAAGACATTGCTTGACTGGATCCCGGTAGATAGCCGAATGTGTGCTGTCCGTCTGAACGGATCAGTAAGAAGGAGAAAGGACTGCACTACTCGCCGATGCCTTTTCGTAATCTCCGCCTACGCCCCCACTGACTGCAGTTCAGATGAAACGAAGGATGAGTTCTACCAAAAGCTGTCTAGTTTGGTGCGAAAGGCTAAACGCTCAGACATAGTCGTTCTAGCTGGTGACTTTAACGCTCAAGTAGGGAAATTGTGTCAATCTGAGAAGGATGTCGGTGGCACCTATGGAGTTCCGTGCCAGCGAACCGACAACGGTGACCGTCTCCTACAGTTCTGCTCTGATAATCATTTGTTTCTTGTAAGCACTAACTTCAAACACAAGGAGAGACACTGTTTGACTTGGAGACCCCCTTCATCAAACCAACGCTGGACACAAATAGACCACATAGCAATAAGCTATCGTTGGCGTGGGTCGGTAGGAGATTGTCGCTCCTTCTGGAACACGTGTGTAGATACCGACCATGCACTGGTCCGCGCTCGGGTGTGCTTACGACTGAACGGACGTAGGAAACAGCTGGCGGTAAAACCATCACGTCCCCAGCTCGATCAGGAAACTAAATCCGTATTTCAGGAAGAACTAGCTAAACACATATCTGTGTTCGACAGCTGTGCTCACCCTGAAGAAGCTTGGAAAAATATCCAGGCAGCCATAGATACAGCTGTAAAAGCTGTGAATAAGGTAAACCCAAAGGTGAGTAAAAACCACTGGATCTCCACCGCCTCATCCGAACTGATAGATGCTAGAAGACTTATTCCGGCGAGCTCCGAATTCAATGAGGAGCGAAAGCTGCACAAAAGGAAACTTACGAAAAGTCTCCGCAAGGACCGTGAACAGTGGTGGGCGACAAAAGCCAAAGAGATGGAGAAAGCTTCGAGGATAGGCAACACCAGGCAACTCTTTAGACTCATCAGGGAAACGGGTGGGAGAAGACAAATCATTAGTGAGACAATCTCGGAAAAAAATGGCACTATAATTAGCTCCCAGGATAGACGACTGGATCGTTGGAAAGAGCATTATGAGGAGCAGTTTAATTGCCCACAGCCACGCTCAACCTTCCGAGCATCCAACACCTCCCTGAATGGGATATAGACACAGGTCCTCCATCCCTAACTGAGGTTACTAAAGCTGTCACCAATCTGAAACTAGGCAAAGCAGCGGGACCTGATGGAATGACTCCAGAGGTATTTAAGTACGGTGGAGACAGCTTACTGTCTGCATTAACTGAGGTACTAGGCAGCGTCTGGGAATCAGAAGAAGTCCCATCGGGTTGGTGTAAGTCACTGATTATCCCCATATACAAGAAGGGAGACAAGTCTTCCTGTGATAATCACAGAGGGATTAGCTTGACTAATATAGTATCTAAAGTCTTAGGCTCAATAATCATGCGTAGACTGAGTGGTGCTCGGGAGGCACAAACACGAGAGAGCCAGGCAGGCTTTAGACCAGGAAGAGGGTGTATTGATCATATCTTCACCCTCCGACAGATTCTAGAACATAGGCATTCCTACCGGCGTCCAACAGTCATTATATTTCTTGACCTAAAGGCAGCATTCGACTCTGTCGATCGAGAAGTTCTCTGGAGATGCTTGGCTGTAAAGGGAATGTGAGAAAATATATTGCACTGATTAAGGCACTCTACTCGTACTCATACAGCCAGGTGAGGGCTTACGGCGAGCTGTCATCTGAACTGATGACGACCAGTGGTGTCCGTCAAGGATGCCCATTATCCCCTTTTCTATTCAACTTCATCATAGATGTGTTAATGGACTTAACCCTAAGTGACTTCAGCGACTCAGGGATTGACTTGCTACCTGGGAATAATCTCGTTGACTTGGAATATGCAGACGATATAGTCCTTCTAGGCGAAGACGCTGACAGGGGGCTCGTTTCGCATTTACCAGTTTACGCCGACTCTGGCGTAGACGAGATGTTCGACTATCGACCAAAGGGCGGGTGTACTGCTCATCAGTCCGCTCTGTCCTCCTTTATGGCTGTGAGACCTGGCCACTGAGAGTGGAAGACATGAAAAGATTAGCTGTCTTTGATCATAGGTGCCTGAGCTCTATTTTCCGTGTAAAGTGGCATAATAAGGTGAGCAACATTGAAGTTAGGCGTCGAGTTCTAGGTAAACAGGGGAAATCAATCGACGAAGTCGTGAAGTTACAAAGACTGAGATGGTTAGGACATGTGTTACGTGTGCCAAGCCATCGCCTCCCTCGACAATGGGCAATGTTAGCGGATATAGGGTCAGGCTGGAAAAAAGCTAGCGGCGGTCAAACAAAAACTTGGCATCAGTCAATGAAATCCACAACAGTTGGTCTAAGCCACGTAGGAAGGTGTAGACTTCCAGGCTGGTGTCCTCGGGACGGTAAAAATCTATGGTTGGAAACAATTGGTGACATGGCTCAAAATCGTTCTCAATGGCTAGCGCAGATGCATCCACTCCTTGTGACTTATGATCTCCAATGAAACTGTTTTGTTCTTCGTTATTACTCCTTTGTCTCACACCTCTGCTCACTGGTTCTATTATGCTTTTCTTCTACTTTCTTCTCTTGCTTAGCGTGCTACACGGAGTGTGGCGACTTGAACTGGTGCACGTTTGTGCAAAGTTCCATGTCGAAAACAGACAGACAGACAGAGAAAGTCTGTAAGTATAATGGAGTCATAAATACCCCCGATATTCAACGCCCTTCCTCATCATTTACGCAAAGCATATTCCAATGATGGGAGTTATTCAGTACTTACTATCGAAATTGACATTTTACAATTAATTGTGAAATTTCGTACTCACCTCAGTATGTTAATTCGATGAAAAGACAGCATTCTGTCAACACACTGGAAACGATCATCATTTTCTCACTTTCCGGACAGTTTTCTTTTAAAATATGGCATTTAAAGTGCATTTCTGCTGAAGAAACCACTGAAAACAACGTAGAATAGCAAAAACACAAAACCACTATGACACTGGATATCTGCACCTCTATCCTTTGCCAGTGATGCCTGTACAGTTGGTATGCACATATAATGGGTCATTGTGTTCATACCTATAGGGGCGTTATAAGCGTCTATTTTGGTGAATATTGAGTGTATTTGTTTAGTTTCAGGCTTCCATATTTGAAAAAGGCGATATTTTCTGGCATTATGTTCGCATAAGTGCGTAAAAGTGTCGCAATTCCACACA